CAATGATGGTGCCAACTTGGGCCAGTGAAGCAACGTCCTCCACAACTAGACTGAAGAACAAAACGACAGCAACTTGTCTGTTCCCCTTCCCCCAATTCCTCAGCACTGTTCCCATCCCCCCAATTCCCCAATAAAAATCTTTAAAAAAAAAAAGTTTGAGGTAAAAAGAGTATAAACACAGTAAGGTTTGAGAGTATTCATTTTGGATATTTTTCTATTTCCTCCAATATTCAGTGTCTACCATCAGTGTGTACCACTTATTATTTTGCCTGAGAGTTGGCCTTTGACACACACAGGTGACATTTGACAGGCTAGGAAGACTTCTTAGACAAATACCAGCCCAGAGTTTAAATGGAAATAGTCCAGTTAGCAAACAGATAATAGAACCTATGAGGTGGAAAGATCACAATCCTACCCCTGTGGGGAAAGAATTCGTAATAAAATTATGCAAGGGTCCATCTGAAAACTTCTCGATGTTGAGGCCAAAGCTTGAAAAAAGCCTTATCAATTTAAAAAGACACCTGCATTTTCCTCCTCAAGAGATACAGTTGCCAGGTAAAATATGACAATATTTGGGACATACTTATACTAAAAAAGTATTCAGTGTTTATCAGAAATTCAAATTTAACTAGATGACCTGTATTTTTATTTGCTAAATCTGGCAATCCTATCAACAACAGAAGTGAGTATGGCGATTTAGTAAGGGCCTCTGCAACCTAGTATCACCAGATTGGAATTACCAGCAAGAACCCGCTCCAGGAACTTCCCCTGCCAGACAACCAAACAATAGGGCTCTTTGTACAAAAACAGGTCAAGGCAATACAAATGCTACAAACAAACTCCTGGGATTGCCCCGGCCCAGCCAAAAAGATTCAGGTTAGTCCGGAATGATTTAGGGAAGAAATTGTTTTTTCCTAATCTCCCCCTAGGCTATATTGAGTGACAGCCTTCTTACCTCTACTCGTCACTCCTTCATTTCTGCTTTGTCTTCTGCTATTTAATAATTGAATGTTATTCTAGAGTAGAGCTCTGTGGATGGAACAAGGTAATCTAGATCACCCTGCAAGGCAAGGTGATCTCTACCACCCTTCATCTCACATTCTGAGATGTCGGAGTGTGTAACCTATGGCTCGCATTCTGTGTCCTGAGCTATTAGCCTCCTTTGGTTGATGCCAAGGTCCCTTAGACCAATGTTTCCCAAAGGGCATGCTGCAAAACCGGATGCTAAATAAAGTGCCCCAAGCAGCTCTTCCTCTTTGAACCTTCGCACTGAAACCCTTAGGTACTGGCCCTCTATGAATAAGATAGTATTTGATTCCCAGTCTGCTATCGATTCTCGACTGTTCACCTCTCTTGGGAGCCTGGGAAGTTATGACTGGCAAGACGGAGGCACTGCTGGCTTATCCTGCTGCGGGGTTCCTTTCCCCCACTTTGCCTTCTGCACTGTTGCCTCCTATAGTCAAATAGTGCTTCCACCTTCTCGGTTCTTCCTAGTTTTGCATTCTTAGCTATGGACTCCACACAATGACAGAGTCTCTTTATCTCCTTTTAGGAAAATCCTTAGTTTGTTGAGAAGAGGGCTGACTTCCTGACCTCAAAGCACCAGGAAGACCAACACCCAAGGAAACAAAACATAGTCTTTCTCTAATGCATCTCAAAGTATGTTAGGCTGTCAGGTTGGTAGAAATTGTAACCTTAACAATTCACTCGTTCCCAGTTAATGCACACCCTGGGCAAGCCTATGTCTTTGGTGATATGGCTACAATAGGAGCTGAGGCCTTTTAGGAGCTGAGGCCTTTCAGAAGCGTGAAACCTCCATACGAGGAGGTAGTCAATGAAGACTGGGGAGGGACATCTTGAGCTAACGCTGTGAGGGAGGATGTGTTGGATTAGTTTGACAGAGGAAAGGAATTCATTCCATAGTAAGACCAGTGTGAATAAAAGTTCAAAAGCTTCCAATCAGAGCCAATTTATCCATCCAGTGATATAGACTGATGTTTAGGCTCGAAGACCTTTTCAGGGACCACTGAAAATGTTTGATATCTGAGGAAAAAAACAAAACAAAACAAAACAAAACAAAAAACATGCATTACTCCAAAATATGAAAAAGAAAATACAAAATTGACATCAATAAATACTTAATTATATGTCTGTAAAATGTAAAAACTTTGTTAATTGATCATTTAGAAATATCTTGTTACACTTGAAATTTATAGATCAGATTTTCTCACTTCATAAGAACCCCCAAGTATATATTGCCCAGAAATCATAGCCAATCATTAATTGTGTTGCTAATTGCCAAATAATTTTAAAACCAAAATTATATATCTGATTTAACATTTTTACAGAAAAAGATTTGATTGGGATGTGAGTACATTTTAATATATTTACTAAAACGTGGGACAGGGTCTCCAAAAATAAGAGTGTCTAAGGCCAACAAAGGTTTTAAAACAGCCCCAAAACAGTCATTATATTGTTCAGAGCTACTTCCTTATCTTGCCCTTAGGTCCCTGTTTAGGATTCCAGCCCAGTGATCTCTGAAGAGCTTTTAATGATTAGCACCACAAGTAATTACACACAAATAGAATTTACACAGAGAACAGAAATTCCTTAAGCTCACAGACAAATGTAAAAGCAAATAAAGAGCATCCCTTTCTGAATTTCCACACTAAGAACCCTCTTCAATCATTAGTGTCTGGAAACTTGCTTTGGTTTTTAGAAAAGACTTGTGAACTCCATGAGAAAAGGTGCCCCCTCAATGTCTTTGAGAGCTCTGTACCCCAGGCTTTTCCTGGTGGAGCCCAGTCTGGGTAAATGCCTTTTTATTTGGGGGGACTTAAACCGCAGCCTTCCATTCTACCACACCACCCCCCATCATTTCTAAACAGGTGAAATTTGGGCAGACTATTACAGAAAAGGGGTCAGACATGGGGCTGAGGGTGGAGAACAGGGGAGGGAGTTGCCTGCCTACATTTGGTGATGGAGTCAAACGGGGGAGGGAGAATGTGTCTGTGAAGAAAGGTGTGGGAGATAAATATATCTGATGAAGTGACATTGAATGCACTGTCATTAGAGCTTATAATTATTAGAAGTTATGTTATTCATTATGTGACCCCCCCCCTTTTTCTCTGGGGAGAACAGGGGAAGTGGAGTCAGAGGCAAAATGAGTATTCTTTCCCTTGCCCTCCCTAACTCGGTCTGTGGGTTTACTATTAAGAATAATAATAATTGCTCTGAGTTGCACTGGTGCTGCAGCTGCCCACACCAGGCAGGTACCCAGAGGTTCAGTGTTGTCACTCTCCTGCTGGTGCCCAGGGTCTTTCTGAAGCATGGAGTGGGTGGGGCTTCATGTCTCCTTGCGACTTCCTCTGCTGCTTCCTGACCATTAACCTTATTTGCAGCTTCTTGACAGTTACTTTGAAGCCTACCAGCATGTGTGGGACCCTAAGGAGAGGCTGGCCTTAGCGTAAGTGATCACTGACATCATGCACAGGTGCCCAAAGTTTGATCTCAGCCACCCTATTTCATTAAGGCCTACCAAGACGAATGCACCTGCCTGCGGCTTCACCTGCAGCTAGTGAGCGGCGTCCTCAACCAGCACGTGAGTATAGTCAGGCTTAAAAATATTACATGTGAGAAGAGGATGGAAAATGGCTGGAATTGAAAACAGTCTCTTCCTGAAAATAATTCTGGGTCCAGAATCTGGGTTTTCTTGGGTGGCATGTACAGCATGTTTGTTTGTAAGATCATTTGCATTGTTGAATTCCAAGCATAACTAGTCTTAAAAGGAGGTCTCCAACCCTAATTACATTTAATGAGCCACAAAGAATGGACAACCTGTTTTCATTAGATTATAGTTTATCAGTAGTGAAAGAAGAACTAAGCATACCCCTTTATAAGGCACTGATGTATAAAATTATGCTTATTTTTTTAAATGCTGTGACTATTTTTAAGACACTAAAGGGAACAGTCTCCACGTATGTCCTCTGGGGAAAAGCTCGTGGCAGGAAATATTGTTGCAGTACTTTTACCTTAAGCCTGGTCAGAATTTTTTCCTTGTAATCAATTATTTGACAAAAAGAAGTTTTCTTGTGCCTCTTAAAACTGTCTGAAGTTGGTTACCTTTGCTTTTCTTGGCTGACCCTTGGCGCAGACTCAGAGACCAGCGTGTTCCTGTATGAGTGGATCCTCAAAATTATGTCTGGGTAGAAATTAATCAAATAATGAAGAGATACAAAGGGCTGATGTTTTTCTGAGGCCAAGGCTCATAACTCACATCCATGGGAAAGTTTAACTTTTCTAATTTTAACTTTTATGCTACATTTCTAGATATAGAGCATCAGTGTGAGTATGTCCAGAGGTTTGGCAAGAAGGCCGTCCAGATGATAGCAGTAACTTTGGACTTCCCCTTAACATCATTTGCAAACAACTTATTTCCATCAGCAATAACTGGTAAGCTGGTGTTGTCTTTATATATTTGACATTTAATCTTCTAGATAAGTTAAGGGTATGATGCTAAGTCTAAATACTTTTACAAAGTGCCTCTCAAGTATTTGGGGAGATGAGAGAAGTAGGTAGAAAAGCCACAGAAGAGGGATTCAATGCACCCTCAATATCTGTTTGTTTTGTAAATAATGAATAATAAAAGGCTCGAATTTAAAATTATGCCACTGGGTGCAGAATCTTCAGTCCCTTGAGAAGTCCTAAAGAAAAAAGCCATTGTTCTTCAAATGCCGTCAGAGGATTGAATCAGAGGTTCCATGCAAACCGACATATAGGAAACTTGGATGTTCTTAAAAGTCTCTCAAAAAGGAATTTCTTTTTTCTAGTGCATCACCAAAAAGTTTTTTGCAGACTCACCATGTGACCCCCCACCCCTTAAAGGAATAAATTAAACTTCCTGAGACCACTCAAAGAGGCTATGTACTTTAAATCACCCCCTTGATATGTAGTATGCCCACCCCCCAACATTCGCTTCTAGCCTTTGAGGGTAAAGAGGGAACCTGAAAGTGGGTGACAAGGTCCATGTTGGTCTATGTGGCTCAATCTCTCTATTGCCTTCAAATGGGTGGAGAAATTGTCCAGCTCCTTTCAACAACCAACAAATGTTAGCTGAGTACTACATGTACTAAGCGGTGTGCTAAGAGGTGGAAGCATAAATGTGAACAGCAGGCACGGCCCCAGCTCCTGTGAAGTGTACAGTTCAGCTGTCCAGGCAGATGTTCAGTGGGAAGTTGCCGCAGTGGGTTATGGTATTGTCTTGGGTACCAGCAGGGTGCCATGAGCTTTTAGCCTTGTCTCTGGAGAAAGAGCCCCGGAGTCCCAGGCACAAGACTGCGTTTTCTTTACAAATCTTTCTCAGGACCTATTTCTTCACTGTGATAAGCTTGAGACACCAGCTATATATGTGCATTTTGCAATGGCAAGAATCTACTGTTTAGGAAATGGTTTTTGGCAGGACGTACTAGTTAAGCTTATATGTTTACTAAGACCTGACAGAATAGTCTCAAAAGCAAGTGTTCCTTTCCAGCCTCAGGTTTGTATTTTTTAAAATCTAGGACTAAGAGGAACTCCATTTACATAGATTTTAGAAGTATTTATGTTCTTTAGTTCTATGTGTGTATATAAATGCCCTTGACTTGTATATAAAATCCTCCATTTCCAAAGGAGTACCCACAGACAAATTTTATCATTTCTGGCCACATCCATTTATAAAATATAACATCCTTAGGGAAAACATGAATGATTCCAGCAGTTGTGTATTGAATTTAAAAAATTATTTTTGTCCATTACTATTTGAGGGGAAAATAAGGGATAAAGACTCAGGTGATATGTCCCACAGGGAGATTAAAGTGACTCAGCTCCCTCGCTTGGGGCTGCCCCCCAGGTCCCTGAGATGGTAATCAGAGGACACTGCAGGACACAGAAAAAAAAAAAAAGAGAGAGACTCAAGTAAAAAATAGAAACTAACCATGGAAATTATTTATTTAATATATAGTCACTTTAAAGTTACTTTGTTCTCAAATATTTGATTAAATATTAATTACAATATTGAATGTTGACCAGCGTGTCATATACAGTTTAAGAATCTTATTCTTACTGGACTCTTAGAATAAACTCCTATGTATTCCAGTTTTAAAAGGGTTCACATTAAAGCAAAGAGCATGTTGTGTAATCTGATGGGTTCCCTAGACAGCCTCTGAGGCCCCTTCAAGTTCCCAGTTCTTTTTTTTTTTTTTAATAATGCCTTGGTTTAAAGAAGCTTTAAACCAGGGATTGTTCTTTTTTTCTTTTTTTTTTTAAGATTTTTATTGGGGAATTGGGGGATGGGAACAGTGCTGGGAACTGGGGGAAGGGGAACAGAGAAGTTGCTGTCGTTTTGTTCTTCAGTCTAGTTGTCGAAGACGTTGCTTCACTGGCCCAAGTTGGCACCATCACTGCGCTCTTCCTGGGCGAGGCAGATCAGTAGCCAGCTTCTGGACGGCTGCTCACTGTGGCTGCTGGCCGCTCACACTGGCTGCTGGCTACACACTGTAGCCCATGGTAACCCACTGCAGCAGGGGCTGCAGCCTACACCGACGACTCACAGCAGCCCAGCTCCAGGTTGAGCTCTTGTTCAGCATCTTAGCTATAAAGGGCCGCATCACTGGCCCTCATATGTGGGATCTGAACCGGGGCCCTCTGGCGTCCCAAGCCAGCTCTTAACCATCATGCCACTCGGCCGGCCCCAGGGATTGTTCTTTAAAAATATAAAATTCAAATATCTTTAGAAACAGTTCTTCATTATGTAAAATTGTCATTCATTGTTCCTCTTTTTAAGCCCAGCTTTGAAAAACGTTTATCTGCTGGAGTTCCACCCTTCCCTGGGCCTGGCATCACTCATTCCCAGGGCCTTTGAGCACTTCTTCCCAGAGGCTCACATCAGCCTGCGGCCTGGCCTTGCAGGAGAGACACGTACTATGGCTGGCCTGGATCTGTGGCTCACCCGGGCCAAGCCCGAGTCCTGGTACAGTGCACAGCTCCAGAAAGATGTAGGTTTTCTGAAGTGGGGAGGTGGGTCCTTGGCAAAGAGATTGTTTCCTCCCAGATGTTACTACTTAGCTTTGTTTTTCTGTTTGGCTCTATTCCTCCCCTATTTGACCAGAGACAGATCATAGTCCTAGGTCTTGCCAACATTTTTATGTGATTTTTTTTTTCATTTTTGGTCAAAGTTTCTGGTTTATCAGAATGCTGTTACAATGAAAATTAAAAGGGAAATGTACATAGGTATGTGGCAAGTGTTTTCTGGTTTATTATTTACATTTTAACAATATACATTTTAATTAAAAATTATATGTTTTCTTTCCACTAAGGCTCTTTCTAAAATTCACTCTTTTTGTCTTGAACTGAGATCTGGTAGAGGAGAGAGGAGAAAAGTCAGAGACCTGGACTTTTAAGTTAGCCCTGCTGTTAACTTGCTGTGTGACTCTGGGCAAGCCTCTTAGCCTCTCTGGGCCTCACTTTCCTATTTTGTGACATTATGTTTGTGTATTTGAAGGAGAGTGGCAGTAGGTGAGCTTGATGATCTCTAAAACTGCCTTCTAGCTCTAATGATCTGTGGTTCAAACTACGACCGGATGATTTACATGGTGTTTGTAGTTGGATTTTAATTCTTTTCTTTTTCTGTTAAGACTGTCATAGTAGAGCCTGGGTTTTCAATTTGACTTTACTCTGTGTGGGTACTTGTTGTATGACGCAGGAACTTTCAAGGGCTTCAGATGCCAAAAATATCTGTTTCACATGTCAGACTTGGCCTCCTATCCCCTTTTTCCCCAAACTAAAATTGTATTTTAACTAAATTATAAGTTGATAAAAATAATATAACACAGAGTTTTAGCAAAAGAGGAAAGCAAAAAAAAAATTACCCTAAATATAACCACTCAAATGCAATCATAATCATTTTTCTGAATTCAAATATTCATGTGCCTGTTTTACATGGTTATAATCATATCCTTTGTACAAAGCTGTCTCCTGTTTTTCTCAGTGAACATTATATTATATATTTTTCTATATTGCTAACTAGACTTTATACTCACTTTTATGACCACATCATTCCCTTAAGTGATGAATCATCACTTATTTAACCATTTCCCTATTGATGGGCATTCAAGTAGTTTCCAGTATTTCATTATTATTCAAAATATCCCCATGCTTACAGGTTTTTTCATGTTTTGGATCAATTCCTTTTGATAGATTCTTGGAAGTGAACTTGCTGAAACAAAATTTAAGTCTTTGGATACATGTTGGCAGATTGCTTTCTGAAAGAGTTCTGCCAAATTATAATGCTGCCAGTAAAGTATAGGAGTGCCAGTTCTGCTACACTGTACAGTATTGTGTAAGCATATAATGTCTGTGCTAATATACACAATACATAAAAAGGTGGGATTATACTGTTAATTTTCATTTCCTTGCTATTTGTTGAGATTAAATGTTCTTCTAAATGTCTTGTTACTAGCTTTATTTTTTGTGAATTTTCTGTTCTTCCCCTTTATTTATCTCTTAGAATCCTAATGTCATTTCTATCCACTCACATGAACTCTTCTTAAATAAAAAACTTACTTAACCCTTTTGTCCATGATGTTTTCTGCAAATATTTCCCCTGATTTGTCTTTTTAACTTAATTAATTAATTAATTAATTTTTTTGTAGAGGGCAGTGTCACCAGCCCTCATATGCGGGATCCAAACCGGGGCCCTCTGGCGTCCCAAGCCAGCTCTTAACCATCGCGCCACTCGGCCGGCCCTGTCTTTTTTATTTTTAACAGAAACTTTGTTTCATACATTGTAGTAAAATCTGTAGATCTTTTCCTCTGTGATTTCGTCTATCTTCCTAAATCCAGAAAGCAAAACTTCCCCTAGATGTTGCATATTTGTCTTATTTTTATTCTAATTTCTTAAGATTTTCATTTTATTTAAAAAATATGTGACTCCTTTAGTATTCCACCTGGAAGGGAGTGGGGGGGGCGGGAGAGAGAGAGAGAGAGAGAGAGAGAGAGGGAGAGAGAGAGAGATGTGAAGTATGTCTCAAATTGAATTTTCCCCCAAATTACCAGTCATGTATTCTACTATAATCTATTGAGGATTCTTTTCACGTTGTATTATTATACCAGATTTTTAAAATGTGTTTTAAATTCTCTTATAAATCACAGTAAATACCTGCGATACCTATCTAGTCTCTCATTGATGCCACACAGTTTTAATAATTATTATTTTTGAAATGTGTTCAAACTAGGACCAGGAAATGATACATATTCAGATTAAACTTTGTATTAGACCAGAAAAGGGGGCAGGAATTGACCTGAGAAGATATGTAGGAATTAGCTTAATAAATTTCTTTATCACTTAGAAAGACTTTAGGAGTCTAGAAACTGCATCCTTGAGCAGACAAGGCCTTAGGTGGATGAGTGGATGGATAAGGCAGCTTGTGCACACTTAGGCAGCGCAACCGGGAAAGGCAGAACAGAGGGTCCCCAGACGGGTCTTTGCGGGGAGCAGTATATTAGAGGGTAGCAAAAATGTCACAGCAGAGGAGCCCACCATGGCAGGAGGGCATTAATGAACAGTGTGGTTATTTCACAGATTGCCCAGGGCTGTCTCAGAGTGGAAGAGCACTGTAAAGACTGTTTAGTACACTGTAAAACCACTGACCTTGGAATTAGGAAGCCTTAATTTACTCTTGGTATTGCTGTGTGACCTCGGAAAGTTTCAGTGTTGCTTCAGATCCCTCACTGATAAAATGGAAATATTGGTATCTGTGATGCCGACTTCAGGGGGCTCTTGTGAAAATAAAAACAAGTTAATATGTGTGAAAATACTTTGAAGTTTTGAAACTGCAATTAGAGAGGTTTATAAGAGATTATTGTTATTGGTCACTAAAATACTTGAAAAATATCAGGGACTTCTATTTCAGCTGTCTTTGTCATTTCTATTTCTTATTTTGGCTTAAAACACTTATAATAATGATAACAGCAAGTATTATGTACTAGGCATTTTTCCATCTGTTAACTCACTTAACCCCCTCAACAACCCTATTAGGTAATTATTATCTATTAGTGCCTATTATGTACTGTTATTATCCTTATCTCTACTTTATAGATGAGAAAACTAAGAGACAGCAAAATTGAGTAAATTACCCCCAGTCTCACAGCTTGTAAGTGGCAGAGCCAGGACTTGCGCCCAGGAAGCCTGGATCCGGATTCTGTGCCACTGATAGTATCTTTCTTAATATGTGAAATTTCTTTTCTTATATTTTAAAAAATACATTGTTTTCTTTCAGCTTTTTTCAGCTAAAATGATGGGAGATCCCTTTCTTGTGGGGGAGCTAGGCCTCCTTACACTCAAGTCTGCAGCAGCCAAAGGATAGAACCAAGGTCAAGATTTTCATATGCTGCTCTTGGAGATGTTTTCCTAACTTCTGGAACTTGTGACCCTCCACCACCAGCTGATAGAAATGATGCTGGAGAGTGTACACTTAGCTCAGTAACAGGGGTACTGAGGATTCAGATGGGGGATAACAGACAGTGTGTCTCCCTGCCTACAAGCCTTGTCCCCTCTGTGTGCACAGAGCCACCAGAGTGAGCTTTCTAAATGGCTGGAAATGATCACCTGGCTCCCTTGCTCCTCCTCTCACCCAGGCCTGCCCAGGTGCCTCTCCGACCACTCAGCTAGGCTAGACCCTAGCACCTGGCCGTCTTCTCCATTCAGCACATTGCCTCGTAATAAGCTGCTTACTATTGGTTTAGTGGTTTTCCTACTAGTGGAAGCTTCCTGAGTGCAAAAGCACTGTCCACATGGTTTTCCATGGTATCCCATCACCTGGGGAGAGGCCTGACCTACACCAGGTACTCAGTGACTATTGATTGGATTTTCTCTTGAATATAAGACAGTTGAATAGCAGAGCAGAAGCAATGGAGGGCCTAGAGAAAGGGGAAACTGAGTCAGTGACAGAATCCAGGCCCGACAGAGGTATGGGAGGTTCAGTAGGTAGAGGGAGAGAAAGATGAATGAGTTAGGTTTTAAGTATGAGTGTGCGGTAAGGCATCCAATTGGACATGTTCCATGAGTAGGAAAAAGATGGAACTAGAGGGTTTGTTGTAAACATGTGTGAGTTCTGTTGTGTTCTGATCCCCGTGAGAGGTCCAATCATCTACCACCAATCATTTTTGAGGGCCTGTTGTGGCCTGGGTCTGCACTGAAGACTTTGTGTGTGTCAGCTCATTTAATTCTCAGAATATCCTTATGAGGTAGCTTACAAACATTTTACCCGTGAGGAAGTAGAGGCTCAGAAAAGTTAAGTAATGTACCTAATATTACATAATTAGAAAGTATATTAAAAGAATATACAAATTAAACCATAAGTCAAGATATTTATTAACTTCTATGATACTACCTCCCATAATTTCTGATCCTTGCTCTCAGGGAACTCACAATGTAAAAGTTACCCCTAATACAGTTTAATACGGTATTTTAGTCATCTGAACAAAATACTATAGGAGCAAAGAAACTGGAATATTTCATTCTTTTTAAGTGGATCAGGGAGAGCTTCATACAAGAGGGACTGTTATGGGATGAACTGAGTGCCACTCGCCCCAAAATTCACGTGTTCAAGTCCTACCCCCTAGTACCTGAGAATGTGACCTTATTTGGAGATAGGGTCTTTACAAAAGTAATCAAGTTAAAATGAAGTTATTGGGATGGGTCTTAATCCAATATGACTGGTGTCCTTATAAGAAGAGGAAATTTGGACACAGACACACACAGAGGGAAGACAATGTGAAGATATAAGGAGATGGTGGCCAACTATAAGCCAAGGAGAGAGGCCAGGATCAGATTCTTCCCTCACGTAATCCTCAGAAAGAACCAACCCTGCTGACACCTTGATCTCAGAATTCTATCCTCCAGAACTGTGAGACAAATTTCTGTTATGTGAGCCATCCAGTCTACTTTGTTACAGCAGCCTAGCAAACTGCTGTTGGTGCCATTTGAACTCAGTGTTAATGTGTCAACTTCTCAAGATGGAGAAATGTGTTAGAATGAGGGTGAGAGAGGAAGGGAAGGCTAAAATGCCAGAGGGACATGGGGCCTCGCTGCAAGCTTTGGAAATGTGGGAGTTGAGCTCAGAGTTGAGGCAGGACAGAAATGGGGTCACAGGCTCTGACACTAGTGGATGATCGTTAGAGCGTGGGGGTGGAAGATGGACTCCCTGAGGAGGGGAAGGAGAAGATGAGAAGAGGGCTGGGCCTGGAACTCAAGGAAATACCAGACTTTGAAAATAAAGAGGAGAAGAGGCCAAGGAAGACTGAGAGAGTGGTCCTGAGGCAGGAGTACGGAGATCCTGGATCTCAGAGTACAGAGATACTCCTCACGGAGGGGATAGAGGCCAGCCATGAAGAGCTCCAAGGGAAGAAGGTGGGCCTTGTGCTTAGGGCAGTGTTGGTGACTTGATGAGGCCTCTGAGGACAGAAGCCAGCTTGCAGGAAAGGAGAACTGAGGAAGGGCTCAAGCATATCTCCTACTTTTGTACTACCTTCAACTGTTAGCATAGAGCAGTCACAGGACCTTTGTGACTCATGCACTTCCTATCTCACTTGGCTTACTCTTGTTTTGCCTTTTGCTTTTGTGCTTATTCAGATGTTTTGGTTTTCTTTATCACTTACTTTCCTTTTAGGAGAAAATAATAGCAAATGTTGTTGACTCTTTTTTTTTTTTTTCTCCTTTTTAGTCTCTATGAGGAAATGGCTTGGGAGATGGGTTTTGAAGAGTTCCATTTATATCTGAGGCCTGTTCACTTTGAATTTGCATCACACAAGGACAAGATGGACCATTCACCTCCTGTCTTTATCACCTCTCTGCTGGAGAACAGTGATCATGTAGACAGGTGAGTCTTAAGTGGGTCAAAGTAAAAATAATATAATGGTAGAATGAATGGCCAGTGAAAAGTAATTTCTACCACTACTGGACACACAAATGCAATTGTATTTCTAAATTCTCTCCCTTATATGCTACCTGCCATAATGCCATTTCTTTTTTCTTTGTTTATTTCCTTTTTTCATAAGAAAGAAAAAATAAGAACTCAATTACAGGGAATAATTGGATTTAAAAACACCAAGTAACTGAGAAATGGAAGAATCAGATCAGAGAGTTCAAATGAGATGGACTCACAAGCTCAGGCAGCTGCCTAGGTTGACTGTGTTGCTTCTGCGTAGAAAGGGGTGTGAGGACTGGTTTCATGGGGCAAGAACCATTGATCAGAAATCCAAGTCCCTTCTCTCACTTTCCCTGAGACCAGGAAGAAGTTGGTCAAGTCTACTGAGCACAGTTTCCTTGAAACGCAAACACAATGTACAAACCTAACATGTATGGCAATATCTTAGTCAGGTTCTTTTGTTGGTCAATGGCAGAAGCTGACTCAAACCCATGAAACCTCTTTTTCGTGCCCCAAAGGTTCAGCCCATTGCCAGAAAGAAAACACTTTTACCAGTAACTGATCATGAATCAGTTCAGTCAGGAAAAGGGATCTTTTTCCCTCACACAGAGCCAGCCTTTGATGTGTTCTGAGAAGAAACTTGTCTCCCTCTACTTTCTTTCTCTCCTAGTCTGCCCTTCCCCTGAGGGTCCTAGTTCTATCCTTGGAGATTCCTGGTACTAACCAAACCCACCCCAAAGAAGGCAAATATGACTTCAAGGAGGGAAAGTCACCTTTGTTTTGCTAATGTGGATCACTGCTCAAAATATAACTCAGATGTGTTTATGTGTTAAAGTATTCCTCTTACCCAGAGAGCTTGGGCTGGAATGGATGGGGTTACGTTGATAGAACACAGTATCCCAGAATTTCTCAACTTTGGCTGGGCGACTTTTTTATGTAGGGAGCTGTGCATCAGAGGTTGTTTAGCAGCACCCCTGACCACTACCTACGAAATGCCAGTAGTACCCCTTTTCCCCATTGTGACAATCAAAAATGTCTCCAGACATTGCCAAATGTCCCCTAGAGGCAAAATCTCCCCTGCTGTATCCTGCCACACTAGTTAGACCAAAAAAAGAATTTATTGTAAAGATAGATCTCTCACGAAAGCTGAAGGCAGCAGATGTAATTGGGCCTCAGGCAAGGCTGTCTCCAACCTGGAGCCAAGCTATTCTCTGTCTCTTCAAGGGCCTCCTGCTGGAGCTGGTATTTTACACTGCTGTGAAATAGGGCATATTTTTGTTCAACTGAAATCAACCAAGTAGCACAAACTTCCCAAACGCTCCGTGGCCTGGCCAAGCGGTGACTGGTCCCCCCAGTGATGATCCAGAGATCCTGCAGATCTGAATTACCAGGGGAAGGTTTATACATCCAAGGAACTTGTGTTTTGAGTTTGCATTTATTTTATGTATGTTAATTTCTTAAAGTTGCCATTTTGTTTGTTTGTTTTTTTAGAGGGCAGCGTCACTGGCCCTCACATGTGGGATCCGAACCGGGGCCCTCTGGCATCCCAAG